ACAATGCTGCGTCCTGATCAGATAGTACGAAGTCGCTCCTGCTTGAGGAACCCCGAGCCCTGATAAGCTGCTTCAAGGGCGACACCCGGCGAACAAAATATGGGGGCAGCGAACAACGAAGTTCAGCCGAGAAGGGACGTGCCACATTCTGGACTAAATGAAGAGCGTAAATGGGGCTCCGGGTTTCTGAATCAGGATGGAGAAAGCTGTGCGGAAAGCCGAGGGGGAGAGGAACCCTTTTTTGGGGGTATTTCGGGCAACCAGAGCGGGTCGGAGACCCCCGAATCTTCAACCCTAAACTTGCTAAAGCCTTTTTGCCCAAATTCCCAAGCCCCTGGACTCTAAACCTCTAAACCCCAACCCCTTCTTCATTCTTTTTCATTCCGAAACCGCCGCAATTCGGCGATGCCTCGTGCGAAGCTGCTCTGATCGCAGGCTTCCGATACCGATGGCATCGAAGGAGGGGCCCCGAAACCCCTAAACCCTAAACCCTTGTGGAAGTTTTGGGCAGAAGGTTTCAACTCGAGGAAAGTCTCAAGGCACAGGACCACTTCTTGACATACGTGGGTACAGTTCCGAGTGGCCGTTCTCAGGAGCATCTTTGTTGCCCTGGTGTGATTCTGACATTCATAGACTCTCAAGCCAAGATTGGCAGATGGAACGGAAGCGAAGCAAAACGCTAAGGACACACACCAGCGAGCAACTACACTACTACCATGTTGCACACCACCAGAAGCCTGTGTGGAGTCTGGAAACTTCGACGTCATGTTGTGTTGAAGTGCCTGTCACAGTATTCCATCTCGTAGAGCCTGCTCGACCCCACACCCAAATCCCAGAGGCTACGTCCTGGAAATGTCGGACCTTACAGTCAGATTCGCTAAAGTTATGACCCGAGCATGCCTCGAGCCCTGAACTTTCTTCTTCTAATCTGGGTTCTTGTTAAAGGTTTTTTTTAATTTAGGCTATCATGACAAGGAACCATATTATCTACTATAGATCCATGTTATATGGCAAGTCAAACTACATTCCTTCACAAGAACCCTGTAATTTTAGTACTGCTGATGGACAAAATCCTGCATGACCCTAAGGACGCTAAGCTATGGGAACTATGGTATACTCCTTATAATGGGTAATGCCGGATTTATGTCCCTAAACCCTAAAACCCTATAGATCCCTTAAAGGAGCCCCTTAAAGGTACCCTTATAGATCCCTTTAAAGGAACCCAGGATTTTATATCAGCAGTAGCATCCTTATTGCCAAGCCGGCAGGCGACGAGCAGCGGCAGCGGCGTCCTTAGGAGCGGATCTGGTAGGACCGAAGCTACGAAGTTCCCTGATCCTGTAAGTACAAGTACCACGAAACCCTAAACCACCAGAAGAAGAGCCCACAAAAAAAGAGCGTGCCTGGAATCGTGAGACCAAGTGTCGTGTGTGCGGGCACGCTGAAACGTGGGGTCCAGGGGTGTTGTTGCAGTTGCAGGACGTTGCAGGGATGGTTCCGGGTTATGCAGTTCAGAAGTGAAGGACATCTTCCCGTCAGCTACGGCACCCAGCCGAGGGATCACATTCTTTAGCTTGCCTGGGTCTTTGTGAGAGGGAGCCCCGACCTCTTTCAGCAGTCTCCTACAGGCCGACACACAACACGGCAGCGGAATTTCAGAGCTCCGGCATGCCAAGGCGTCTCACCGTGTTCGAGTCGGGCGAACTGGCCGAAGCCTCGTTATAGTGCCAGTAAGCATGTTGTTCTTGAGACTGAATCATAAACGTGGTGGCACTAGTCACTGCAGTCGTAGCAGTGGCAACAGCCATCGCCATGAGAATCCGCAAGTATCACGCGTGTCATGGTTGTTTGTCCCTCCACACCGCAATAACGGTACCAATTCTAACAGGATCACGTGCATCATGCCATATCTCCGTTCTGGCCGCATGCCCAGCTGATGACGGCGGCAGCCATAACGATGGCGATGCTGATGCGGATGATGGCGGTGAAAACGAAGATGAAAATTAAGGACGAAGAGCAAAGATAATGAGAGCATTTTGGTCATCATCCCAAGGGTCATGGTGATAACAATCGTCTGGTTGGAATGGCTTGCAGGGGCCGCCGACAGCGAACCCTCAAGCCCTACACCCTAAGCCCTAAGCCCTAAACCCTAAGCCCTAAACCTTAAACCCAAAACCCAAAAGAAGACACTACAAACCAAAAAAGCCTGCACAAAAGGCCATCGTGCAGCTGTTTCTCGAGCATCGGCTGTCTTGGGAGAGGCGCCAGCTTCTCCGTTTGCACGGACGGGGGGGGGGGGGGTGTAGGGTTTAGGGGGTTTAGCGTTTAGGGGTTTAGGGGTTAGGGTTTGGGGTACTTTCTGGCTCAAGGGGTGCCTTTAACGGGCTCTAAAGGGCACCAAGGGGGTTTCGGGTTAAGGGATCGGGGCTTGTTTGTATATTGTAGGGAGATGGTATTTGAGCGCTTTGGGAAAGCCGGCTTCGACTCAGTGAGTGAGGCTCGCGAATGACCGTGCCTCCATCCTGAGCAGCAGTTTAACCTGTTCAGGGCGTAGGGTTTAGGGGTTTAGGGTTTAGGGTTGGTGGGATCGGTATCGTGCTGGTTCTGATCGTGACAGTGGACGCATGGTTCACCCTGCCTCGGAGTCTGAACAAGGCTGTGTCAGGTCTGATGCCTGTCCTGTTTGCCTGCACATGGTCTGGAGAACTTCAGAGCACTCTGCGATGCACTCAGGTGTTTTGTGTTTCAGACAGCCCATGGTCATAAAATGCAAAAAGCTGAAGCCCCAAATTATGATTGTTGTTGTGGGAAGTATTGCCACTACAGAAATGGTTTCTCAACTTTGTTGACTAGTGCTTTTGTGTCTCCAAGTCACACATATCTGAATCCCAAGCCCTAAACCCTAAACCCTTCTGCAGGGCTCGGGAGCACCTGCAGCGCAAATGAGCTGCGAGATCCGGCGTCGGAGGCGCACCGCTGTGGGGATTTGTGGTTGATCTTTCGGGGTTCAGGTTTCAGGAGTTTGTGTTTTAGGGTTAGGGGCTTTGCGGTTTAGGAAATTCGGTCGTGCAGGCGAAATTCGCCCCGAAGACGAAATCCGCAGTATTCAAGACACGTGGCAGACGTTTCTAATCTCCTGAATACCCATCTGAAGACGAACTTCGGCCGCAGAAGATTTCGTCTTCAGGGCCTCATGTCGTCTTCGCCGGGCCTCATGTTGTCTTCGGGGTCGAATTCCGTCTGCGAGTTTCGTGGTTTAGGGTTTAGGGTTCAGGGTTTAGGGTTTCCTTTTGGGGTGTCTTTTGTTTGGGTATATCCTTGCACGAAGCTCTGATTCTTTGCCACCGGCCTTGCCAATGCTTGAGGTTTTTCCACAAGTCTGTTGTTGGGAGATGAGGTCCTATGCAAAACTGCCATCTCCGCTGCCGGTTTTCTCTACCAGTTCCTGTTCTGTCTGACTGCATGTGCGCCGTTCCTTACGCACGGCATTCGCGGACTCATTGCATGTTATATGATGAACGAGGGCGGTGCTGTTAATATTTGCAGCACGCTGACGATGCAATGATAAAGATAATGGTGATGATGATGATGATGCTGATGATGACGATAGCGCTAGCTCAGATTCACCCCTTGCTGCGGTGGAAGAAGAAGATAGTGATGACAATAAGGATGGTATAGTGACGGTCATGATGGTAGTGATGATGATGGTGGTGATGATGGTCTTCATGTAATAATTTGCGGGTCGTGCAAGAAGAAGAAAACATAATCCTAATCCAACTGTCATATTACTGATGGCAATACTAACCACAGTAGCCGCAATGAGCGAAACAGCAGCAAGAGACGATCCTGGTCATGGTGAGAACGACGATGCCGGCGCTAGTGATGCTGCTTACGACACTTGCCCTCTCGTGTTCGTATGTGCAGCATTAAGCTGATGAGCACAAATGTGACCATGACCACAACCTCGCAGCGTCGACTCCCTTCTGAAGCTTCCGTACTAACTGTGCAATCTGAACCCCCCCACAGAGGCGGCGACTCTGAGTGACGTCTGCCATATCAGCGACGCGGGTGCGCATCTCCATGATGCACATGGGCCAGCTCGAAAATCATGATGATTGCACGCAGGGTCGCCAAATCGCTGGAACTGAATCGTGAACCATCATGTGCACCCACTGCCCGGCAAAGTAAGCCGAGTTTAGTGAGGGCCCGCCCTTTCACGTTCCGTCGACGACCATCAGCTCGAAACGGCTGAGACTGGCAATCAACTGGTTTTATAGCCTACCGTAATACGTTTTACTGTAGTTTGTTATATGTTATATTGTACATGACATAGCTATCCGCCGACTTCCCCCTTCAGCTTCCCAAGACACAAGCGAGAAGTTTGAAGATTCACGTCATTCTCAGAGCCGAGGCCATGGCCCGAAGGACTAGCAAACCCTCCCTAAACCCTAGACCCTCTAAACCGCAAACCTTACACCCCAAACCCCGAACCCCATAGGCCCTAAACCAACCCCTAAACCCTAAGCCCTAAACCCTAAACCCCTAAACCCCTAAACCCTAAACCCCTCCACCCCTAAACCCCTAAACCCATATCTCCGGTCCCTGAGCCCTGTTGCTTGGGGAGATCCGGAAGGTTTCACTCCGGAAAGGATGCGAGTCCGTCTCCGGAAGCTTAGAGCGTCGATGCGGAGAAGAACCCAAAGTTAGAACCCCTGCCTGACAGGAGAAGCCCGATTATTACCCGGGGGAGGGGATGGTGGTTTCTGGATCCAGCAGACCAGCCATACGTATGTATATATATATACACACACATCTTCAGGACGCAGCGAACGAGTCGTCGCCTAGCTAGCTAAGGCAGAATCTCATGGTGAGATTCCGGCGCCTCTGTGGGCGCGCACGTTTTGTGCCCCCTCAAGTCACACGTAGTCACGAATGACAGTACGTGTGCTTTGTACAACTATGTCGTCAGTCAAAGCGTGCTCACAATGGCAAGTGAGGCCTCAGTCCATTCGCATTGCCCATATCAGATAGGCTTTGCGACTGAGCTCAACAGAGTCTGGCAGAGAGAGGGGCACAGCTGCATGATTGTCGTCATGCAACCAGACTCGCACTGGATTTTGACCCCATCGCGTCAGACAGCGGTAATGCCCCTGGTGCAAGGCAGGACCGTAGTGGAGAGCCATGGCACACACCTGATAGGGTCTCCAGTGCTTCTGAATGTCATGTGACGTCGCGAATTGCGGAATGCGTATCACTTCAGACCAGTCCGGGAGAGCCTGATCATCCTTGCTGAGAATGCCCCTTTCATCATCACGCCTGTAGCGCGACAAGTGGAGACAAAGGAGATTAGGCATGGTTCCATCGAAGGCGGTATGATAATGCTGGGCAGACCACTCTTGTACGCAATGCTGAAGCCCCCGTGCCTCCAGGGGCAGGTCAACAGTGACCGGGAGTAATGCATTGGAAGATGCACAGACCACAGTGCCTGTGTCCTCCAGTCTGCGAGTTTGCCACAAACCGCTGAAGGCCTCCAATCGGACTCTCGGCATGAGGTGAAGCAGAAATTCGTGCATGTCGTGTTGTTGATTGGGCCTGGCCCAGTTCCCCAGCAACATGGTCCAGCACATGTTGCGCATCAATCGAAGGTCCGACCTCGCAGTCAAGCACTGATATAAGCTGCACAATGAGCCAGATCGAGTGGGATCATAGCAGCCAAGTGCCCACAGCAGGGCAATAAAAGCTGTGTTCATGTAGCAGGCAGTGCCATCTGCATTGTGGAGGGCTGCATGAAGCAATGGCTGAAAGTGCAAGGGGACTTCTGAGGGCGCAAATGAGGGCGAGGAGCAGGCAGTATCTAAGGGCAGATCCCGGGACACTCTGAGAAAACGACGTATACCGGAAGAGGCTGAGGTCGAGGCCAATGGAGTGGTTGGTTTCACCAACCTCCGACTGCCTGTTGAATTTGGGCCGCAAGGCCTGACAGGCCGGGGCGGTCCTTCCTCAGGCGCGCTCCGAGAGGGTGGAGGCAACTCTGGTTGAGCAGCATCTGAAAGATTTCCCACATGCGATCCCCCTGTGGTCGAAACCCCAGCTCCAGCTGAAAGTGGATCCATTCGGACTGGGGTTCCTGTGGAAGTCCGCGAAGTGACGCGAATTTCTTCACAGGGTCTGGATTCACAAGGGTGCGAAGCTCTCGGAGGAGTTCGAGGAGGGTCTCGGTGGCAAGTGGACTCGGAGTAGCTTGAAGTTCGAGCTGTCCTTTTTGTGCATTCCACTGCATGTAAGTCCAGCCCTCCTCCTCCTTGTACCACTGCATGTCGATGGCCGTCTGCTTCTCCTTGCTGATGGTGAGCTTGATCCGGGTCTCCATCTCCTGCAAGGTGGCTCGGAGGAGGAGAGTGCGCAGCGGACTGTTGATCTTCCCCGGTTCGTCGCGACGAAGGCGGCTCCATTCCTTTGCAATCTCGCATAGATTGGGAAGAAAGGATTCCTTCCCACTGCGGAGATAGAGATGCAGCTTGTAGTCCTGTTGGATGCTCTGCAGCTGCTGCTCGTGGCGGAGAAGGAGGCGGGCCATTTGACCGGTCAGGTCGCCGGAGGAAGTCCAGGAGTGGCCGCTGGACCAAGACTGGTCCGAGCTCCAGTGATCGTTCCACGACTGCTGGGCAGCTGGGCGTGATTTGCCCCCTTTGCCCCGTCCTTTGCCCTTGGGCTGCTTGCCCTTCCCTTTGCCCTTGGGTTCCGAGCTCGTGTTGGCGAACGTCATGGTCGACGCTGAGGCCTGGGAGCCGGACGAGTGGTTCAGGAATAGGGCTTGTTGTGCCTCCGGCTCCTCCCCCCGTCGGCGCTTGAGTTGAGCTGCGTCCATTCCCGCCGGCGGTGTCATGAAGTTCTGGAAGAGGCCCAATTCGCGTTGATCCTCCACTGACATTGGCAGGAGGGAGTGAGTGAACCGGTTGGTCCAGTGCAGTGGAGGCTATAGCAGGGAAGGCGTCGTCCAGCCAACACTCTAGGGTCCCTTGTCAATATGGCAGCGAAGACCACTCCAACGAGAGAAGCGGTGCCCGCAGAGACGACAGGTCGGCATCCCACTAACTGAGTGTTGGTCGCGGTTGAAGCGGCCTGGACGCTCCCGATCTTTGGCCTTACTTGCATGGGTTCGGGAGAGATGTACGCGAAGAAGTCTATGTGATGGCGCTTGGTAAGAGCAGTGGGGACATGACCATCCTTCTTCGTGCATTCCCGATTCCAGAGCGCCCTTGGTTGATGGGTTGTCCTGCAGGGCAGAGCTTGTCGAGGGAGCCGTGGGGGCTTCCAACAGCGGCTGAAGGGGGGAGTCGAGCTTCTGAAGGGCTTCATCAATGCGTGTTTGCCACATGCGGTTGAGAAGATGGGCTTCCTCAGGAGGGATGGCGGCCCAACGGGCTGCTCGGCGGTGAGAGGCCTGTCGCAACGCATCTAACACCAGGGGAACCCGGAGGCGATGATGTAAAGCAATTGTGGATTCGCCTGTCAGATGTGCCTGGGACTTGGCTACAGCACGCAGCTGTTTCGTCAAGGCTCTCTGAATTTGTACCAGGTGTTGCTGTTGCAGCGGAAGGCTGTCTAGTGCATAGAGAGCGGTGGGAGGAATGCATGCCTGCCAGAGACGAAGTCGCAAGGGGAGAGCAGGTGCCGAGGCTGAGGTAAGGGCAGGTCGAAGTCGGGTCCAGGTCGCCCATGTTTGGCGCAATCTATACGCCACCGTAAGCTGCGTACAGTCCTCCTGGTAGGAGATAATGGCTCCCAGATACTTGTGAGTAGTCACTATTGGCATCTTGAAGTTGCCTGCCGTGGGTGTCGAGATTCGTAGGCGCGGGCCCTCCTTGTCAGAGAGAATTTCCCTACGTCGCCAGCGGCTGGCATAGGAGTGATTGATAGAGAGGAGAATCACGGATTTGTCAATATTGACTTTCATGCGTGCATCAATGAGCAGTTGTAAAACATGGCCGAGCCTGTCGATGGACAGAAGCAAATCTCGGGTGGAGTAGACAACCTGTCCAATGTGAAAGTCATCGGCAAAGAGGCCGTGAGGGCGCGACGGACCCACTCAGATGAGGTCGCGCGGGCCAGTCGACGCATGAGCAGACCTGTAGCCAGACTCCACAATAGTGGAGCCACTTTACAACCCTGTTTGACTCCTCGCAAGGCTTGGACGGTGGCCTGCTCAGAACCAAAGGTCAGGTGATAGCCCAGACCTCTGTAGAACTCAAGTAATTGTACCCTCAGCTCAATAGGAACTTGGGCCTCAAGCAATGCTTCGTGTATAAGACTCCAGCTGAGCCGGTCAAACGCTTGAGAAAGGTCCAGTGATGCCTGGACCCCTCCGGTCCGTTTCCGCTTGGAGGCAGAGGATGGGGATGAGGGCTTGCCAGCCTGGGCCAGCTTGTCTCTGGCACGGTGGATATTGTAGGCAGGCTTAAGATTAGCCGCGGACACTTCGTGACAGTGGCTGAACACACGATGCAGCGCCTCCCCTGTGCTGCGTCCTGCCATATAGGCAAGCTGGGGCCATGGGCCAACGAAGGCTTGAAGGTAGGGCTTGAGAGCATCTTGTAAGTGTCCGGCCAGAACACGGCTCGTGCTTTCTGTGAGCCCGATAGGGCGTAGTTGTCGTGGGAGTACTGGATGACTGACCTTGGGCATTAATTAAGGCCAGCCAGCAGTCTGACCATACAGCCGGGAAGGAGGAGAGAGACCCGACCTTGTCACTGAGCCAGGGCGCAAGAAGATCAGCACAGGCAACAACCGCCGCCGTGGGTGCCTGATGCGCTGGGGTGGCTTTGTGTACCGGGAGCCGTGCAAGTCGATGGTGGGCCTCAGAGGAGGAAATGGTGGGAGCTTGAAGTGGTGGTAGAGGTGGTAGTGCCGGTTCGTCCTCCGGCGCATACAGATCCTGAAAGAAGGTTTTGAGGCAGTCCACCTGTTGCGTAGAGGACCAAAGCTCACCGTTGGGACCTCGGAGCTGGAGTTTGCGACGGGGCTGCTTAGGCAGGAGGGCGCCAGCCAGACGAAAGAGCGCTCTAACGTCCCCGGCAGCAGATGCTCGCTCCATACCAAGAATTTGATCGTGAAACCAGGCCCGTTTAGCTTCGCGAGTCCTCTGACGGAACTGCTTATGTGCTCGGCGAAAGGCGGAGTAAGCACGCCAGAGAGCAAAGACGTTTCGACGTCCTGTCGTCGGTCCATGCCGCCAGCAGTGATAGGCTTGCCACATTCCTTTAACACTGAGTTCAACAGTGGGGGATTGCCAGGGGACGACGCGTCCCTGGTTACGGACAGCTGGGAACACCGCCGTCGCTTGTTGAAGGACGTGAGAGTTAACCTCTTCGACAGTGGCCTCGGGGGAATCAGAAAGCAGGGCTTCGACGGAGGCACGTAGGTGCCGAATTCCTGGATGACTCGGGTCGCGACAGGCGTTGCGTAGGCCTTGGAGATCAAGGAGAGCACGTTTGGGTTGATTCTTGCCCAGGGCGCGGTAGGGTCGAATGGGAAGTGAGACCTGCACCGGTCGATGGCGTCCCCCTTGTCTCCAAGTCGCCAGAGGCCAGTTGCAGGGGCTGCCGCCGCGGGCAGGCATATCGGCGGTGGCCTTGCGCGCAAAGACATGATCGATCTGAGATGCTCCCTGAGGGGAAAGAAAGGTGGGGCCGGCTCTGCGAGTCCAACTGTTAAGATGAAGCAGCTGAAAATCTACGAGCAGTGCCTCCAAGGCAGCCAGGTCTGGGACCATCGGTGTGCGAAATGCCCTGGCCTTGCTTCCCACCAGTTCGGGGATGAGCGGGGCAGGCGAGTTGAAGTCACCAGACAAAATTAAATGGTGACGGATCGGAATCTCTTTAAGGAGACCACGAAGAGATGTCCAGACGTCCTTGCGCTGATCGGCCGCGGTTTGAGTCTGACCTTTCTCGATTCTCGTGCTGCCCGAATGATAAACCTTCTGGTAGGTGTTAATTGCATCCACCGTACGATCTCCCAGATCGATACGTACGTGGAGCAGCCTGCCTGCGACGCGAGAGGAGGATGAGATCTGATTTGCCGAACATAGCTGAGCGCTGACTAGGGTGAGGAGACCCCCTGCCTTAGGGGAGGAGCAGGCCGACGATATGATGTGCCAGCCTGGTGTGCTGTATTCCTGATCGTGCGACCAATGCGTTTCCTGGATGTGCACTATCGTTGGGCACTGCTCTGGAGGCAGCTGGGCTAGCCACTGCATCAACTCCTGGTAGGATTCACCCGTCAGCCCACCCGCATTGTAAGAGACATGCAGAAGCCTGGCGGCAGAGGCAGGGGCAGCAGCATGCAGCTGGGGACGACGATCCATCCGAGGCTGCGGCGAGAGGACAGGTGCTCGAAAGGAGCACCATCGGCCACGATAGAAGGTTCCCTGCAAGGGGCTCGCTTGTGCTCGTCTGACTGCCCGGTTGTATGCACGCTTGATGCCTGTGGCATGTGCATCGCTGGGGGCCTGCAGAATGCTGCTAACTCCTAGAAGGAGCAGGCGCGAAGCGGGCCAGGAGAAGCGAGACCTGATGACGACTGGTTGTGTATGAGGGTGGCGGTCCCGCAGGACTGCACCACTTGCAAAATTCCCTGGCTTCCCTGCTCCCATACAATAGTCCGAGGCTGGAACTGTGGTCGATACATGTGCATCTGGTCCAGCAGGGATCGGGGCAGCAGGTTCAAGACGAAGCGGGGGACGTCTAACCCTCGGCTCTGAGAGACTTTGTTTACAGGTTAGCACCGGCGTGTGCAAGGAAGTGCGCTCAATGTGCTGTGGCCTGTGTGAGCAAGCCTCCCCTTCGGACTTGGGACCGAAGTAGGCTCTTTTGATGCCGAATGTATACATGTGTGTAAGTTTGAGTTGCCATACTAGAACAATGTCCGCCCGTTGTTCGGGCTGTTGTAGTGGCCTTGTGGCGGCGATGGCTGCATGTCTCTTGAGCAGACCTGTGACCCAACGTATAAGAGACCACAGAAGCACGCTAGTGGAATGCAGGCCAGTAAGCTGGAGGTCCGCCTGAGTCACGTACCAGCGAAAGAGCTGTCTTCTGACAGAGGCCCATCCTGCAGCGGTTCGCCTTTTGCGTCTGAGCTTGCGAGCGCGTCGGCCACCCAACGAGGTCCTTGGTCGCTTCAGTCTGTGGCGAGGAAAGGTATCCTGCAGTGTAGGATTGGGGGCCCGGCTGGGCTGAGGCAGTAAGTCTGCCGTGACCTGGGTGCATTGCCAGGTCCAGTAGGGGTGGTACCCTTTCAGGTGCAGGTGGGCCAGACTGGGCAAGTGCAGTGCAGACCGGTTTCTCCAGAGCCAATCAACGGAGCAGGCATTGTGCAGCGGGATAAAGGCTGCTTGCCGAGGCTTTACATCTTGATGGCCCACGCCGTTTACAGCGGCCACAAGGGAGAGCAGCGAGCTGTTATCCGTGATGCACGGACCTGGGGTACATACTGGCAGACGCGTGTCGCATAATGTGGGACAGCGGGGTTTGCGCCAGGACCTTATGTTGAGCCCTGGACAGGACCACTGTGGGCACCGGAACGGGTCCCTCTGATTCACTGAGCGAGCCAGGGGCATCATCATACCGGACTGGTCGTGGAGGCGGCGGACCACGCGGCTCATCGTTTTCACAGAGAGGTGGAACTGGGGGCGGTGGAAGGCCTCGAGCCGCCATTTCTCGATCGATCTGGTCCGAGTCGGAGGCGCGGACCTCGTCGGGATCACTTGCAAACCAGGACGGCGTAGTGGGTATGTCCGAGGGAAGCTTTGAGCGGTCCGGTTGGGTCCTTGGAGCTCCTTTGATGGGCTTGTTGGTTGAGCGTGCAGGGCGCTTCGCCAGAGTCGTAGAGGTAGCTCTGGTTGCAGCGCGAGAGGCAGGCTTTGAAGTCCTGGAAGCAGCCTGTGCACGAGATTTCTGCGCACTGTGTCCGGAGGAACGACCGGCTGGCCGCTTGCGAACAGGTGCCATGGCCCAGAGAAGGAGGCACCAGCGTGTGGCTCAGGGCTAAAACGGCTGGGTGACAGAAGCATGGCCTGCTGGGGGCTCCACTGATGTGTGTGGCAGGCTACTGGTAAGCGAAGGTAGCGCGGCAGACTGAGGGCCTCGCAAAAAGACCACTGTCCATGAGCAGCACCCAAGGACCTGGGCAGTGAGAACATCACTACTGCAAGGCGCATGAAGATTCTCACAGGAGATGCAGGGGAAGCGCACATATATGCCGGGCTGGTCGGAGTGCCAGGCTGAGTCATGCCCGTGTCTGTGAAACGGCGGGGCTCGTGGCCTTGGCTCCGCCCCAACCGACCAGAGGAGCTGTCATCATTAGAACTGGACGTAGAGCTGCGCTTCTCAGGCCGCACCCGTTTGGTGTCTGTCCGGGCGATCGGAGAAAAAGGGGATTGACTCGGGAGGCCCTTTGAGGTAACCGTCAGAGGTTCTGCCTCTGCCTTGGCATGTGCTTCCGCCTCCGCCTCAAGTTGAGAGAGCTGACGCCGTCGCCATCGCCTCGTAGGCAGAGGCTGGCACGTACTGGGCGGATCCTGTGAGGCCACCGAGGCAGGCAGGAGCTTCACCATCTCTGGGACATTCTCCAGCATGGTCTCCGGAGGGGAGATTCCTTGGAAGGTGTGCGACAGGAGAGTGGAGGCTGCTGGGTCCGCACGCAGTATGTTCTCCGGCGACGGGGGTGGCAAACCATCTCCGGGTTCCAGCGCCTCCACGGTGTCGCTCTCAGAATCCGTGTGCCCTGGTGGTGCATCTTCGGACTCAGACCACCGGACTCGGCTGAGGGCCTTGGCAAGGCTTCCGTCTTCGGCCGCTCGCATCATCACATTGGCCAGGAGCTGACGCCGCTTCTCGGGACCCGAAGTCGGAGGTGTACACTGAGAGCTCGAGGAAGCCGGAGGCTCGAGGGAGGAGGCTGTGCTGACTACCTCCGGTGGTTTTTCTTGCCCGCCTGGACCCGGTAGAAGCACCACCACTTCATCTCCGTCCGTATCGCTGTCCGAGTGGATCTGGACTGTCGGGCGTGCAGTGCGGTCCGAGTTTTCACGACCATCAACCTGCGTCGGTGCCAAAGCTGGTGGTGGCCTGACATATCGCGATGGCGGTGGCGGCGATACCACCCAGCGATATAGACGGTAGAGGCGCTCCTGGACAATCTCAGAGAAGAATGTGGGAGGCGTAGGGATCACCTGCGGGGAGGTACAGATGTGCACAGCAAGGCCCGGGATAAGCATGACCTTGCATGTGGTCTGGCCAGCGAGCGGGGCCGTGGTTGTGCTCAGCGGAGTGCCAGGGATGTCATCTGGCAGGATAACGCCCGGAGTTCCAGCCAAATACGGCGGTTGAGCCTCGAAGAGGCGAATGAAGCGCCGTGGCGCGAGCACCAAGACCTTGAAGGTCGTCCCCGAGGAGCTCGAGCCACTGGGAGCTGGGCCAGGTCCTGCTTTGGCAGCGGCCACACTCTCCTCCGGGCGAGGGGTCTCCCTTGTGCGACGGCCCTTGTGCTGCTTGCCCCTCTGAAGGCGATTCGCCTTGCCCATGAGAGATCCAGGTCGAGTCAGCCCCCACGCTTACATGAGCCAACATAGCAGCGAGGTGATTGCTCAGCAATGTGCAAGTGCCTGTGCCCATGCAATACGGCGACAAGGCAGGTGAGCAGGATGATCAAGCCCACAGGCGAGGACTCCTCCAGCCTGGGCGCACACAGGCAAGTGCATGGAGAGACGGGTTGCAAGACGAGCTATGAGAGCCCGACTTGAGAAGCCAGCAGGACCCAGCCTAGTCGAGTAGATGCAGATCAAGGAGGTGGGATTGCAGGCTGGCGTGTGCCCGAGGAGCAAGGTGTGTGAGCTGGGCAAGAAGGGCTGCATGCTCAGCTTCCGTGAGTTCTTGCCTGGCTTCAAGGTATAGGACGTGGGCCTCGAGAGATGGCAACCACTGCTCATAGTGCAATGCCTGAGTAAGAGCATAGCTGCGGTAGGTGTTAAACCTGGCGCTTGTACGGTACCTCGAGACGGAGAGCGCCTCACACAGGAGGCGCGTACACAGAGGCAGTGCACTCCATGCTGCCGCAGCCACTGTCCTAGGACTGGGGCTGATGGGACAGGGCGAGCAGTCGGTGTCGTCGGGCACCCTGTGTGCCTGAAGTTTATTCCTGGGCTGCCACGATCTATCCTGCAGCTGTGGCTGCAAGCATAAGTTCGCCCGAGTAGGACCTGGGAATGCAAGCAGTGCATAACTCGCGGTGATGGAGGTAGACAGGGGCGCCCACTGGACGGCGCCGCATTGTCCATCATCTGCAGGAAGGACATGTTACTGTGACCTGAGCGACCAAGCTGAGCAGGGAGAAGCAGGCTAGGCAGGGGCTCTTGTGACAAAGCAGGGCAGCCAAGCATTTGTGTCCTGTGCTCATGCTCATGTGCCATCGTTGCTACTGCGTCTTTGTGCTCCAAAATGAGAAGATCGGGAAGCAGGGCACAGCGAAGTGTTACTACATGCAGTGCCTCAGACGTCCGATGGACAAATCGGCGTACAGATCGACAATGGGGTGACCGGGGTAAGGCGGAGCTGCCAAGCGCCTTGTGAAGTAAGTACAAGGTCTTGGGGGCAACCTGTCGGCATCTGCATTGTTGGGGCCGGCGTAGGAGGCGGTGGGCCGGCTGGTCCAGTCGGAAACAGCGACCCGGTAGAGCCAGAAGTGGTGGTGGCCGTTGCTGTAACCTTGGGATACACAGGGGCATGTACAGAGGCTCCAGAGGTTCCAAGCGGCGTGGGCGCAGCAGCAGCTGCCTCCCCTGGATCATTGACCGCCACTGGGGGAGGTGGTCCATGAGGTGGTCCTGGGCGAGATCCGCGTTTGGGCGGTGGCCCCCAGGATTCCTCAGAAGACGAGGAGCTCTCACTGATCGACTCAGACGCCTCTGCACGGCTCGCTCGTCGACTCTTCGGCACCGGAGTGCGGGTGCGAGCCCTGCTCCCCGGAGCTTTGGCGGGTGCTTTGGCCGGTGCTGCTGGGTCTCCTGAGGCTGCCTTGGCAAAGCGCCCTGTGCGTAATATGCCACTGCCTGCCTTGGTCGACGCGTGAGCGTTCTTCTTGGGCGACATGCCAAGGCAACGGAGGAATCAAAAGGAGAAGGGCCTTGAGACGAGGCAGCTGTAGCAGCTAGGCCGCTAGACGGCGACCAGTGCTCTTGAGACAAAGAGAAACAGCAGGCATCAGGGTCAGTTTGCAATGCAATAGGCAGGCTTTCCGTGCAGGCCTCAGTAGGTCTGTCTGAGCACCAGACAGCGAGGAGGTGGTCCAGGCAGCACGGAGGGCTTGAAAGAGCTAGAGCCACAAGGAGAAGCTGGCATGACCGCATGGCGTCTGTAACTTACACACTGGAACAATCGGCTCGAGCCAGAGCCTTATATACACACACATACATACATACATACATACATACATACACACACACACACACGCATACACAGACACATGCAAACATAAGCAGGTATCTCGGGATGTTATATTATGCTATGTTGGCTTGTGTTGTAACAGCTTGTATTTATGCATGTATGAATGCATGCGTGCATGTATGCATGTCTGTCTGTTTGTCTGTCTGTTCTTATGTATGCATGTGGGTATGTACTTCTATTCGAACTTGTTCGTTTGAATGTATGTATTCGTCTTGATCCAGCACAGGAGTTCCCCCAACCTGGAGCAACTGTCGCACGCCCCTCAACCCCGCACCCTAAGCCCTAAGCCTTCCAGCCTAAAGAAACATCCAAACTTACACCCTTAACCCCAAGACCTCAACCCAAGAGCCTTCTGCCAAGCTGGCTTGGCGCTCCGATCCGTGTCACGGTGGTGCGGATTGGCCGTTGAATGCAAATGATTCAAAAGTCCGTCTACGCCTGCAGGGGTGGCCATCTGAAACCAAAACACCAACCTCATAGCCTAAACCGCCCATCTGCAGTATGCATGAACACCACCACGATTCGGTCGAAACCATCCTGTCGCAAGGTGCTTTCGCTCACGCTAAACCCTAAACCCCAAACACTAAGACCTAAACCCTAAACGCGAAGCTAGTCCCGAAATCTTTGCAACTTCAGGAACAAACCCATAGGCACTTCATCTATTAGGTCAGGTTTTAAGTTGTGGGCTGTTCGGGCTAGTTGTGAGTATGTGTCAAGTGGCGGCTTATCGCCATTATCGTAGTAGTTCTAGTGCCAGTGCCAGGATTGACTCACAGAGCAGAGGTAGCCGTTGTAGTCGCACAAGAGCTGCAATACGGTTGATGATATAAATCCTGCATTACCTTAAGGACCCTACACTATGGGAATTATGGCATATTCCTTATTATGGGTAATGCAAGATTTATATCATCAACCGTAGCACCGCGAAGGCTTGTAGCAACAAGTGTTTTATCAGCAGCACATATATCACCATCAGTATCAAGCTTGCTTTTTAAGCGAAAGTCGCGGTCGTATTTCAACGGTGGAGCTGTAGGACGGTTGAGGATGTTTCAGGCATTATGACACTTCGCCGGCAATTGTCATCGCAACCAGCAAATTTTGAAGCATTGAATTGGCAGGTTTTGATTCCGCAGGACCCTGAGCCCCATGGACAAAGGAACCCCATCCCTCAACCAGCATGGCCTTCTGAACGCTAGTGGAAAAGGGGGCATAAAAGAAACCATTGTTATGTAAAATACACATTCCAGTGTCAGATGACAAGAGCATATTTTGAAGACCCTCATAACTCCTACATCCCTGAGGAATCCGATGCAATAAGCTGAAGACCCGGAAGCCAGACATCAGCGGCCCATGAATCCGAGTCCCTCGGCTCCAAACCCCAACCGCTTTACCATGATTCAATGGGCTTGCTCCACTTCTTCCTCCTTCAGCTCCATGTCCTCCTGGGCTGTCTGCGTGTCTTCTTCGTTGCATGCTCATCATAATCGTCAACAGGTCAACACCACAGTTGCCCTCAATCTGCCTCTTGCCGGCTAGCGGCGAGCGCATTCTGCACAACACCGTCACCCTCACCATCACCATCACCCTCACCGTCACCATCACCATCGCCATCATCATCTTCATCACCATCACTACCAACATCATCAACATCATCATCGTCGTCCCAACTATGCACCAGCATCATCAACATCACCCAGACCAGCATCACATGCATCGTCCTGCACGTCCTGCTCGCGACAATTTGTGGCTCCCTCGATCTGCTTCTTCATGTTCATGATCAAGGTGACGAGTGTCATCGCCATCCCCCTCACCCTTACCCTCGCCGTCACGTCAACCTCACCCTGTCACTGTCAACCTCACCCTCGCCCGCCATGCAACCACCACCATCATCATCAGCATCATCATCATCATCAGCATCATCATCATCATCATCACCGTCATCCAGACCTTATCATCGCCACGATGATCATAGTCATCTTCATCACCATGACCATCATCATCATCGTCGTTGCAAGCATCACCATTACTGTCATCAGCATCATTTTCTTCGCCGTATCGTCAGCAAGATCATCATCATCATCATCATCATCCTGCTTCTGGTGTCGATCCCCATCACCATATTCGTATCCTTATCCAGCCCCTTATCCTCATCCTCTTCCTCGTCCTGGTGTCCTACTGCCCTTGGCCTCGTCTGCCTTCTTCGTCCTTGCTCCCTTTCGCTGTCGCTTGCTGCCGTCCTCATCGTCGTTCGTCACTGTAGCAAAGCGATCCTTTGCAGAAGACGGACGCAGTGGCAGAACAGCGCCAACATGAAGGCTTGCAACGCAAGCCTAGATAGGTTCGTAGATGAGAGCAACTCCCCTGGATTCCCCTGGTAACAAAAGATGCTAAGAACAGACAGCAAGAAGCCTAAACCCCACACCCCTAAACCCATGCACAAGTCCATTGCAGCCGCTGATCTTTCACTCGCTTCTTACGCACCCCGCTTCCAATCTGCCTTTCTTTGGTCTGGAACTCGACAGCTGGCCTGGTTTGTTCATTGCGAACGATTACGACTAGCATCTCCTTGCAGTCCCTACAAAAATTTACTAAACTATATCCAGAGACCCCAGTCCGAGTCTTAAGGAACCCACATTACCTTGACGACTTGGGTGGATTGCTGGGATGTCGGATGTGGGAATAGCCAGAACTCAGAACATAAGGGACCCAACGCAGACCCCAAGTGGTAGGAGTTTAGGGTTTAGGGTTTCAGTTTTGAAGATTAAAGCAGGTTTCTTAATGTAAGGACCCCTCAAACAGCTCCACACTTTCGAGGATCTCACATGTCAGGCTCTATGCGTACTCTGAGATCTTGTGATACACATCTGATTATAAGTCGAGAAACTGAGACAATAGACCATACGGAAAATGCAGTACTATACTTTTGCTTTGCTGTCCTATACCATTGATTCTGCACTGTGCCACGCTATGCTATGCTATGATAGGCCATGACACACCCTGCTCTGCTCTGCTATGCTTTGCAATTTTATGCGAGACTCGACTCAGGCTTTTGGCCGCGCAAGTACCCTTGCACACCGCGATGGTAACTGTAGTTCCAAGGTCGGTCGAAGCGCAGACCTGTTTGTATCCGGACCTCCCCGAGGAAAGACGAGGGCCATTTCTAACCAGGCCCCGATAGCTTGTTTGATCAAGAGAGGATGCCTACTCCTCGCATTTCTCTCCTTACATGCTCCGGTTTGCAGCCCAGGCCCAGGCATTCGAGATGTCGCCGTCGCCGCCCTTTACGCAGTCGTCGTCGTCGTCGCAGCCGCAGCTTCAGGACCTTGGAAAGGGCCACAAGCAGGTCTGCTGCCACTGCCACTTCTTCTACCACTGCTTCGCCTCCTCCGACGACTTCGGCCGCGACGACCACGGCGACAACGACTGCGACGACCACTACGACCACGACCACCACGACGATGTTGATTACCGTTACTGCTGCCGCTACGCTAGCGCTGTCGCTGCTGCTGTTACAGTCGCTGTCACTGCCACTGCTCCTGCTACTGCTGCTACTATGCCATGCTGAACAGACGACGACGATGACGGGCTGGCTACGGCCATTGCTAGAATGACACCACCAACACGCCTCCTGATCCTGCTGCCTGTCGGCTGTGCTTCTTGTCGCACCACATGTTTCCGTCGTCAAAGACACAATTTCTGCGACGATGCTGTTGGAAGAGCCCTCGGGTGATGGCTTGTTGAGTGCACACTTAGCCCTAAACCCTAAACCCCTAAACCCCTAAACCCCTAAACCCCTAAACCCTAAACCTTAAACCCCTAAACAGGCCCTAAACCCCCTAACCCCTAAGCCCCGAAGGAGGAGGAGTACTTGGTGCAGCAGCCCGAGTCTTACGGCCATCACCAGTCTTCCTTCGGTAGCTAGGATGCCCAGTAGTACCCTTATTCCCTTTTTGTAGTCCTAGGTTCCTTATAAAGTTACCCAATACCAAAAAGAGAGGCCTTTTTTGTCTTAGGTTACTGGGTATCCTAGGTAGGATGACGCAGGATTTGGGGGGTTTTGGGTTCAGGCACCAGGCGGTAAATTTCACGCAGCAGCCGAGGGCTGCTTTGCAGAGTCTGCATCATGTCGCGTGCTGATTGCGAAGCTACAAAGTCCCCGATGTGCAGCCGACGCTCAAGTCTTGTTTGTATATTCGGTTCATACCTTTTTAACACATGATGTATCATTTATTCATATTATCGGGCACGCTAAAGTTGGATAAGAATTTCGAGAGGTATGAGGAGGTGCAGGAGGAGTTCTCGCTTGAGGCGGGAGCTCGATGTCTTCGGAAATCTCCATGCCCGGTGTCGATGCAGAGAAATGTTTAATACACATACACATGAGTAGTTCTCTAAATTAGGGTCCCTGTTTGGGTCCCCAAAATCGTACGGCAGACTCGTAACAAGGACCCTGAAAGGGGTCCAATCTAGAGAACAAACCGCATACACAGAGCTCTGCAACACCCTCTGATATACAACATGATCCGGAGTGTCTCTGCGGGCAGTACTTAACATTCAGACATAAGACATCATGGCATGCCCCGCCGAGACCTCCCATTAATATCGAAAGTCCAACGTAGCCCAGATGGGAGTTTCAGGAAGTAGGGGACCCTTCTGTTCAACCCTCAGTTCTAGATACTGATTGTAGGGGCACTTGTACGGAAATCACAGATGTTGGGCACGGGGAAGGACCTACACATCTGCAGGGTTTAGCGATGCTTCAGCACCTTGAGGTTTGAGCTGAGCAGCGCAACTTGCAAGAGTATATAGGTGGCATCTCAAAGCCCTAAACCCCACAGCCCCAACCATCAACCCTGAACCTTAAACCCTCAGAGAACTATCGTGTGGTCGTAACGCACACTAGCAACAACATGAGTCGAGGATGAGACTTTGATGTGAGATCCCCAGGGAAGCCGGGATCCCCTCTTCGGCCTTTAAGCATCTGGGCGCGGGGTTTAGAGCTTGGGGTTTGGGGTGAGAGGGCCTTTAGGGTTTTTGGAGATGCAGCAGACTTAGGGCCGAAACGTGGCAAGCTTTGGGGGTTTTCACCTGCGCTGTGCGAGGCGTGCACGGCCCCAGGAGCAATCAGGTCGTTGGGGCCTCTGCTTCCCGGTCTCGCGCGGCAAGAAGCTCTTCAAATGCAGTTGAGATTTAGAGCCTACGCCGCGCCTAAACCCTAGACGTTGAACCACAAACCGGATACGTTCGGAAGCTGCGACGAGGCTTTCAGTATTCTCGGGACAGACCTGAGAGTTTCATAGGATAGGGACATATGTCGGTGTCCTGATTAGGATCCTTGCTGGAGCGAACCAGCAGGCTGAGAGGTAGACACAAGTGGAGTAGCTAATTCCCTTGTCCCATACTCCCCAGAACCCGCCATGGCTCACTCAGTAGGCGGAGATTTTACACGCAAGCGAACAAGAAAGGAAACGTGAAGTCTGTGCTACCTTGGACATGGCACCTACAACTATGGTACATGTGTTTTGTTTAAAAGCATGCTCAAGGCTCAAACTGTGCATAGCCTAAAGAGCGACGGAAAAATGAACATGTACAACTGGCATGAGCTGCAAAGGTGGCATGCACTTCAGCACTCCTCCTTCGCGGCCCCGCCAGGGAGCTGCGACCTACTTGCTACTGCAGGTCCAACCCGTCAGGGTGACGACACACCTACCCTGAACTACCTGGCAAAAGCTGGGCCAACTGCCCTCACTATGCGAGGGCTCTCAAGGCACCTCGTGTGGGAAAAAGACACAGCTACGGATGAGCTCACTGAGAGATCCAACCCGTTAGGGTGGAGTAGTTCCTACCCTGTGCTGTGCTGGGTGTGGTCTGCAGCGCTCCCGTGGCACTGCTGGCACACTTGAAACTCAACAAACCTGTGCGAGTGGGCGAGCGTGGAACAGGTCTTAGCGCGGTGGAGCTTGGTCCCTTCGGGTGTTGCAAAGTAACGCGTTGGTGCTCCACCTGCCTGCTCACGCGTGCGAGTTGTTTGTGAGGGGCGGCGTCTGGGCGCTGCAGCAACAGACTGCGAGCTTGCTGCCTCCTCACGTGCAGAGATCTCGGCCTGGATGGCCTGCGCAGTTTGATCTCGAAGGCGCTGTAACTTGCGCGCCTTGCGGGGGCTCAGAGACAACACGGGTGTCCCTGCCTCTCGGCGGGAGATGATGCCTTGAAGGCACCACTTGAAGACTTCCCACACTGCAATGAAGCAGATACCAATGCAGATGATGGATACTGCCAACATCAAATCTGCATCAAGCGACACGGGGAGAGACAAGTCTTCTTCCTCGTCCGTTGTCTGGCTGGCAGCACCTACGACCTGAAAGAAGGCGAGCAGGACAGCGAAGGCACTCAGCTGCAGGTCTTGCTGTGCCACGGTCCCAGTGCCCACAGCCTGAGTTTCACTGTAGGCCTGAGCTTCCGCCCGGCGAGGTACGCCATGCTCAAGCAAACCCCAGATGGCTGCGAGCTCAAGGATCCTCGCAGATGGCAGTGCTTTCGTCAGAAGATCTGCGGCCTGCTCAACACCTGGGCAGTAAACAGGGATGATTTCTCCTGCCTCATACTGCTCGCGCAAGTAGTTGGCGCGCACCCTCAGGTGGCGGGTTCGCCAAGACCCGTGACCGATAGCGATGGCCAGTGCAGACTGTGAGTCAACCCTCAAAGTCTTGTCGAAGCTAGAAACCCCGAACTCACTCAGCATGGCCTCTGCTGACTGAAGGGCAACTACAGCGTCAAGTCCAGCAACAAGCTCGGCTTCTGCGGTGCTGAGGGTGACAAAAGACTGTCGTGCTGAACGCCAGCACACCGGCGACCCGTGAAGGAAAACCACCCACCCCGTGTGAGAACGATTCCCTTCCGGCGCATAGCTGGCATCACTATACGCGATCAATCCTGTGTCATCCGCCTCAGCGGTGAGGGATAGCGCCTTGGTACGCTGCACATACGCAAGGGCCTTTTCTGCAATGCGGATGGCTCGTTGCGGCGCCTTCGTGCTGAGAGAGGCAAGCACACAAGCAGTGAAAGCTAAGTCAGGCCGAGTGCGTTGGCTTAGCCACAGGATTTCTCCAGTCAGCCTCTGTGCTGTTCGAACGGTCTCCTCGGTTGGGGACTCGTCCGTCAGGAGAGTGTCAAACGAAACAAGGTCACGCGGACAGGGGACCTTACCTAGTGCAGTGGGCTTCACGTTGTTGAGACGCAGCAGCTCTTCGGCGTAAGCCTGCTGGGACAACACAAACCCGGAACCTTGCACTAGGATTTCAACCCCTAAAAACCTCAGCGGGTGCTCTGCGGTGGCAAGTGCGAGAGGCGTCGTTTTCCAGATGCCCTGGATGGCCGTAGCCAAGGCTTCGATCACCTCTTTACTGCCTGCAAGCAAAAAGTCGTCAACGTAAGTGAGCAACCCTCCTACGACTACCCCGTCAGAGGTGCGAACAACACGCCACCAGTTTGGGTCCAACCTTCCTTGCTGGAGCTGCAGTTCAACTCCGTCAACAACACACCTCAGCGCCCGAAGTTGGCAGTCTCTGAAGTCCGACCAAAGCTTAGGCGACTCCCTCAACCCGTACACAGCGTGCGTGAGGATCCAAAGCTCCCCTTCCTCTGCCAAACCTAGTCTCACTAACAACCTAGGCGGCGTGAGAGCAAACACTGGAAAACCTCTGCCTTGCGGGATTGGGGTCAACAGAAAAGCTGAGGTGACATCTAGAGACCCGATGCACCAATTCCTCTTGGAGCTGATGATTACAAAACAACGGAGTGTCTCTGCAGCAGCACCTGAAGCGTAGACTTCAGACCCTGTGCCGGGGGCGTGGTTGCCACAAGCGACCAGGCGAGCCTTGCGCTTGTGGTAAGCCTGACCCTTCCGGGTAGCGAGGGAGGCTTCAGCAGGGTCTGGTGGCTTGACTGTGAACACAAACTTAGACGGAACCACCTTCACTTCCTTGCGCTTTAGCCAACCTCCGGAACGGACCTCTGCAGGGGGCAGTCGCCGCACAGCCTTCTCAATGACACCGATCTCCTTGTGAATGGACGGCATCCACTTCTCGATGCATTGCTCTGCATCCCGAGGGTCTACAGTGTGGACTACCTGCAGTGGTTCTTGCAACCTGTCAAGCAACAGCTCTACGTTGGTAGTGTAAACCGGCTCAGACTTGCAAAGGGCACACGCTTCACTCGTGTCCGAGTCGTCAGACCGGAGAACACACAGCTGCTCACCGGTCTGCGGGTCTGGAACCCACAACTCCCACAGCACTGGTTGCTCCGGCAAGGAGTCTTCGCTTAAGCTCTCCTCCTCCTCAACCTGTGTTTCGGTGTCTGGTTGGCAAGCCAGCAGGGCGTGCTCAGACTGGGTTCGCCTTTGGTCCGGCGAGTGTTTCAGGTTCCACGACACCTCCAGCTCTACAGTACCTGCTTCTACGGCTTGGGTTTCTTTCCAACCTCCGCCTTTAAGCACAGTCCCAGGCGCCAACTCCGAAGTCTTCCCGTCAGGGTGACGTGCCTTTGTCTCCTGAAGGGGCTCTTCTTCGAAGCAGTCAAACGCGTCTAGACGTCTCACGTCTTGCTGCTCAGTCAGCGGTAAACGTACCGACGCTGGGAGTGGAAAACCTAAAGCTTCAAGGCTTTGAAACTCGTGCTCAAGCTCTTTGCCTAACGTGTTGACAGTGTAGCCGACAAGCACTGCTCTCTCACCCTTCCAGGGAGTGGTGGCATGGCGGCGAGTAGGGTCTAGGAAGAAGGGTTTACCGCGCTCTAACTTGTGAGTTGTCCCTAACCAGCGCCTGCCTTTGCCGTCTACCCGCTCCTCTACAGGGCCACTGACTAGGTCACCAGGCTTGAGTTCTATCCACAAATCCCCTCCGTTAGGCGGGAGCTTCAAAGGGAGGACTACATTTGTGGATCCCTGCAGGTTGTGGTGGTCGGCGTGCACGGGTTGAACAGTGGAGTTAGACAACCAAAGCGAGGTGTACTCAGCTGTGGGTGCAACTGCGGAAAGCACCATATTCATAAGCTCTGTCAGCCAAGGCTTATCTGTGGTACCCCCTAAAACTCCTACGACACCTCCGTGACGGTACAACCCAGCTTTGTGTTGCAGCTGGGGCGCTGCTCTGCACACTTCGGCTAACACCCACAACGCTTCATCAAGGTCCCAGTCGTCCTCGATAAGCTCCGTAGCTAAACCTTCGAGGTCTTGCAGACTCAAGCGCGCTACACGGGCAGACTCCTCCTCAACCGGTGACACAGGCCCTTCCGGGTGTGGAGCTTCTGCTGGCGGCGGCAAGGGAGGCGGCGGGTCAAGTGCAAACACGTCGTCAAGTCTCACACCAGCAGACCGCTTGCCGCGAACCCTGCGTGGAGGTGGTGTGTGCTCCTCCTCAAGCGAGTCTCCTACAAACTGCAAGGGCGGTGGATCCGGAGAAACAAGGCGGGTGCGAACATGGAGTGTTTGCACAAAGCCGTTGCCAACACCATCGCTGCGCAACACGATGTGACCATCATTCACAGATGGTGACAACCCCATATACTTACCTTCAACCCATCTATCCTCCAAATCACCCTTCTTGCACGGAACACTTCCCTCCAAAATGGATGGCAAGCTTAGACTTCATGCCCAGCTGCTGCGCCCGTTGCTGAGCCGCAGCTGTCATGATTGCACAAGGCCACAAGGAAGAGTCAACCTCGCCAGAGGTGAGAAGGGTTCGTGCTCGTGCTTTGAGCCAGCGCACGGTGTTCTCAGCAGAGCCGTTCTGCTGCGGAACGTCCCCTTCTGTTGTTGTTGTGCGGACTCCACGCTCGTGAAACCAAGCTCGAGTCCTTTTGTTGAAGAACTCACGACTGCGGTCTGTGTGGAAACGAAGCACGGGGAGGTTTAGGGACCTTAGGGAAATGTACACCTGTTGGAGGGCATTTAGGATATCATCACCCTTGTTTGTGTGAAGTGGCACTGCAAACACCAGCCTCGCCATGTCAGGCAGTGTTTCGAGTTCACACCTGGCTGACTCCCAGGGATGCTCCTCGGCAACTTTGGCTGCAAACTCCCTAGGCCCTTCAACTCCTTCACCTTCCGCCTCCTCCTCTTCTTCCGCTAAACTTGGCTCGTACAGGGAGTCCTCGTAATCCTCGTGCGGGGGGCCTTCTGCTGCGGGAAAGGCCTCATCTGCAAGGTCATCCGTCCCTCCCGGGAGGAGTGCTGCATCATCAAACCCCTCGGTTTGGCTGGGGTCTGACTCCTCCTTCACTCCTTTGAGCCGTGGGAAGCGGTACGACACAGCGAGGAAGTACTTGAACGTGGCTGGTCGGTGGTTGCGGCTTTCTGGGTCTTTGCCCTTCACACGGATGGGCCCCGCAATGTCGGCTGACATGCAATACACATCCGGGTGAACTACACCGTGGTGGCGGCGGCCGTTTCCGGCACCGTGCACGCAAACTGCACAATCACGGCGGTACGGCACGTGATTGTTCGCAACATGCTGTTCCCAATCCGCTTGGGTGAATTTCATGATGCGGTAACAGGGCCAACGTTGGAGTGCGTACACGATGGCTTGCACAAACCCCGGCGCCCACACTGGAGACACACGGCTGTCGGCGCTACCACAAACCTGCCATACCTCACCCTGAAACGCTTGCAAGTCTCTAAGGTCGGGCAAGTTGGTGCCAACAGTTGTGGGTTTATCGCCCGCGTGCCCCAACGGACCTTGACGGAAATGCACCTCAAACAAACCAGCCTCTTCAGCGTAAGTTTGCCACAGCGCGGTATTCCAAAACGACGGGGCGCTACCCACAGCAGAATGGCTTGAAGCCATGTGGTGTTCAACCGACGGTTGCTCCAACATGAATGCCACCATGGATGTTCCATCCGACGGGTTAGGGTGCACACGCCTCCCGGCGGTGGAAAGTGCATGCAACCACAACATGCGAGCATACAAACCCGTATCACGATCAACGAGATCACGCTCGTCAGAGGTGAGAGTGCTCAGGCCAAACGGTTCAGTGGGCGAGCGGAGTGGATGTGGTCCATCAGCGCGGTGCCCTGACATGGACCACGTGCGGGTTGGTGGACCTCCAATGACCGCCGCAACTCGTCCCAACTTTGCAACCTTAGCAAGAAGCGTCCAAAGCGGATCATGGTAAAGATCTTGGCTCCTTGAGCGGCAAATGTCAAGCTCAACAACAACTGTATCCTGCGACTCCAATCGTTTGAAAGCCTTGTGCGAGCCAGGGCCCGCAAACAAGTGAACAACCCAATTGGATGCTCGATGAAGTGCCTTCCTCCTTCGCCGGTTGAGGTTTGGCATACCTTCTTCAAGAGCTTTCCACAAAGTCTTGGAGTCCACATCTTCCGATGGGAGTAGGCCTGACAATGCACGATCGGGCACATCCTGAAAGAATGGCGCCGTGGATACTGCCATGTGGCCCGCTGCTGGCGCTGACGAGCTAACATGCTCAACCAAATGATCCCACCATGTGCGCTGCATCGCGATTTTCGCTTGTCTGATGCGATCCTTCCCCTCATCCGTCCTTCGCCTGAGCTCCTCAACCTGTTGCATTTTGTGCTCCTCCAACCGTGATATCAACGTGAGGGCCTGGCTCTCAACCAATTCCGGGCAACCGTTTTTGACCCTAAGCCTCAACGACTTACCATCAGGAGGATACAGCTTGCAACTACCGGCTGACCAAACCAATTATACCCAAGTTGCTCGATGATTGCGCCCATTGGGACTATTGGCTGCACTAGGCCATCCCTCCCGGGAGGCAGGAGCAAAGTACCTGAGGATGTGAGCCGCATTGTTGTGGTGCTATCACCGGCTAGGCTCACCTGTACTTCCGATGCGGCCTCCCACTCCTCCTCATCCATGGCCTGCCTCATGGCATGGGTGGCCCCAGAGTCCAAAAGCGCATATGCTATGGGTTTGGGGGCCTCAAGCAACCCCCCATTCTCGGCTCGAGAATGGGGGTTTGCCAAACCCTGATTTTTGGCATTTCCCAACCCGCGAGTTGGAGCCTCCTGATGGGGGGGTTGGGAGTCCCGGTTTGGGAGACCCGAAACCGGGAAACAGCTTGCGGGCACGACTGAGCGAATCGTCAGCCTCTTCACCGAAGGATTGGGTGCAGACGATGCGGGCGCAGCCGATGCCGGTGGCACTGGGGGCTGCTGCGACGCAGTACTCAAGCCTTCCGGCTGAGGTTGAGGCGGCTGGGCTTGCGGCGTGGTGCCGCTGCACGGTGGATTGGCCTCCAACTGCCTCAAAGCCTGGACTGCCTGTTGCATGAAGGTTTCCATGTTGAGCACTGGCGTGGCTTGGACAACGGGTTGGCCCGAGGATGTGGAAGCTGCCTGTACGGACGGTTTTTGATCCGGTGCTTTGGGTTCCGCCTTACCGGCCTTGCAATCCTTAGCGCGATGCTCCTCGGAACCACAATTCAAGCACTTCTTAAACCGTTCCGCCTTAGACAACTCGTTCATGGAGTGTTGGCTTTTGCACTTGGACCCAAACCTACACCCCTTCGGCGAAAGGAAATACTTGCATGTGTTGGCATTCCCTCCACCTTTGCCTCCACTCCCCTTTCCCGGCTTATCCCCAGCAACACCAGCTGCCTTCAATGCCAGGTTACCTGATCCACCCTTTTTGGCAACATGAGCTCCAGCCAAAGTCTCAAACTCGGCCAACAAATGTTTGTGGTAGGATTTGACCGCCTCTTCCGAGGGTCGACCATGCAACTGCAGTGCACTTTTCACCATCTCGGTTCGCCATGAAACCTCCGGCTCCTTAGAGATGACGGGCTTTGTCATTGAGGTTAGGCCTCCCACCAACACCATTGGGTCCGGCAAACTCATACCAAAGTCTATGCACCTTTGATACCACCGTCCCCACGCCCTCAATGCTGACACACCTGAGGCTGCATCCTGCACCACTTGGGGATTCTGCAAGTTGCTCAACACCAGGTTGCGTTCCCCTATTCCCCCGGGCTGGTAGGTCGTGTACAATCTAAACAAGATTTGCGATGCAGCTTGATTCGCCTTACGGGCAATGATATCAGATTTCACTGTGGGGTCCAGGGCATCCAAAAGCATCGCGCATGCACGTGCATTCACTCTCCCCCACTTGCCTTCTGTAAGCTCTGGCCTCTCGTCAGGCTCAAGCGTCAAGCGCTCGATGGGGGATGCGACGACCCACTTATCGTACGCATCTTTGCTTACCTGAACTACCCCTGACCACCAAAGTTGAGAAGAATCCGAAAAGTCACTCATCAAGCCCGCAATGAGCTGCAACCAATCCTGAAAGTCCAACGAGCCTCCAGCTGGATCGGGTGGGGCTAGTCTGGGAAAGGTTGTAATGCCCGTTTTCACCGTTTCCGGGGCATCCTCCTTCCTGCTAGTGCTAAGGTGCTGGGCTTGCAAAGTTTGCAGTTGCTGCACTCCCAACAATACGGCATCAAGCACGGTGTTACCTGATGTGGGAGGGCCTTGGGTTCCCCCCGGCGACACACTGGCTGCTCCTACTGGCGCCGTGCTGGCCTGAGCAGCTGAAGCCTGGGGAATTGGGGCACTAGCGGCAGCAACTGACTGGAAACCAGAGCCCGAAGCCCTGATCTGGCCCAAACCCGGGTTTTCGGCTCGAGAATGGGGTTCTGGGCCAGAAGAGGTGGTATCCCCTTGCACACCGACTGTTGCACTACTGGGCTGCCCAACCCTTCCGGGTGGCGTCGCATTGCCAGGTAACCTTTGGGAACCTTGCAACCCCGACCAAAAGTTAGACCATAACCCTGAAGTTGCTGCTGCTGCTGTTTGGGCGGGCGCTCTCAAAGCCTCAACCGCCTGGGCTGCGGCATCATGGACCTGATACGCGATCGGAGTGTGCAGCTGTGCATCCTGAAGGGGCGGCCTGGGAACCTCATCACGGGTTGTTGGAACTACCGGGGCACTACCTGCCACTACGGTTTCTCTCCTTACTTGCTCCCTGAGGGCTCGCTCTCTTTGTGCAGCCTCCTCCAGTTGCCTCCGCATCCTCTGTATTTCTAGGTCCTGAGCCTGCGCTCGCTGATCAAACCCCGCTAACTGCCTTGCAACCTCAGCTTGAATGGCTTCTTGAGGCAAAGACGATGAATCTGTTCTTGATTGGGGCCTCTCGGGCATACCCGCGTACAAAAAAGGAGCCCTCTGTTCCAAAGCTTGCATTCGCTGCAACATGTCCGCGCTCAACAAAGGGCCATCCCTTCCGGGAGGAGGTGCAAAGGATGTTGGCGTACCATGCGCTCCCAACTGTGGTGGCGAGCTCGTATGAGAACCCAAACTCCCCTCTCCCAAGGCCCTGGGCCCTGAAGCACCGCTCGGACTATCACGGGTATGTGATGCTGTTGTTCGTGGTGGTGTGGCGTGTGTGCCTTGCAACACTGCGGGTACCTGCACCACCTCAGTGCGCGCAACACGGAAAAAATCCCCAACTCGCGTCATAAGCTGGAGCCCTGTACTAGGGAAGCCCTCAACCATCTCAGCTATGGTTGGCAATCCCTGTTGCGATCGTGGGGTCACAAACCCCTCCGTGGAAGCACCAGCGACTACTCTACCCCCTGGCTCTGCGTCACCACTCGCGGTACCTAACATGCCAGTGCTGGCCTCTAGCCCTGGGCTCCCGCCCGGCGCGACCGGGTATCGGCACAACCATCTGTACCTCATCACCGCCTTCAGTGGCGGTCGACACCGGTGGCATTCCCCCTGAGTCTGCGCTAACCCCAGTCTGGTCTATGCCTCCAAGTGCCCCTCCCGTAGCCATAGGTTCAAAGCCCATTCCACCTGTTTGGCCATGTGCAGGTGTTGGCGTTGAACCTGGTGCATGTTGCAAACCATCCCTCCCGGGAGGTGGGGATGACTGCTGTGTTGTGGTGCCGTAGCCCTGCCCAAGCGTTGGGCTCATAACCTGCTGGAGCGAACCAGCAGGCTGAGAGGTAGACACAAGTGGAGTAGCTAATTCCCTTGTCCCATACTCCCCAGAACCCGCCATGGCTCACTCAGTAGGCGGAGATTTTACACGCAAGCGAACAAGAAAGGAAACGTGAAGTCTGTGCTACCTTGGACATGGCACCTACAACTATGGTACATGTGTTTTGTTTAAAAGCATGCTCAAGGCTCAACCTGTGCATAGCCTAAAGAGCGACGGAAAAATGAACATGTACAACTGGCATGAGCTGCAAAGGTGGCATGCACTTCAGCAATCCTGCTTATACCCTACACCCTAAACACTCAAGCCCCTGGAGCCCTTCCGACAGCTCGGGCAGGAGCCCTCACGCAGAGCCCAGGCACCCTTCTGAAAGCGAAGCCCTAAGCCCCAAACCCTAAAGCCTGAGCCCCAACTCCTAAACCCCAAAATCGCGAACCCCAAGCCCTAAAGCCCCTCAGCCCCAACTCCCAAACCCCAAAATCTCGAATCCCTCCGAGCCTTCCGAGGTGGCTTCAACCTGGCACTAGCGGCTTCGAGTCCCGGCGGCTCGGAGTTTGATGAGG